TGGCGTGTGTTACTGTCCACCTGGCGTGTGTTACTGTCCACCTGGCGTGTTACTGTCCACCTGGCGTGTGTTACTGCCACTGGCGTGTGTTACTGTCCACCTGGCGTGTGTTACTGTCCACCTGGCGTGTTACTGTCCACCTGGCGTGTGTTACTGTCCACCTGGCGTGTGTTACTGTCCACCTGGCGTGTGTTACTGTCCACCTGGCGTGTGTTACTGTCCACCTGGCGTGTGTTACTGTCCACCTGGCGTGTGTTACTGTCCACCGGCGTGTGTTACTGTCCACCTGGCGTGTGTTACTGTCCACCGGCGTGTTACTGTCCACCTGGCGTGTGTTACTGTCCACCTGGCGTGTGTTACTGTCCACCTGGCGTGTACTGTCCACCTGGCGTGTGTTACTGTCCACCTGGCGTGTGTTACTGTCCACCTGGCGTGTGTTACTGTCCACCTGGCGTGTGTTACTGTCCACCTGGCGTATGTCCACCTGGCGTGTGTTACGTCCACCTGGCGTGTGTTACTGTCCACCTGGCGTGTGTTACTGTCCACCTGGGTGTTACTGTCCACCTGGCGTGTGTTACTGTCCACCTGGCGTGTGTTACTGTCCACCTGGCGTGTGTTACTGTCCATCTGTGTTACTGTCCACCTGGCGTGTGTTACTGTCCACCTGGCGTGTGTTACTGTCCACCTGGCGTGTGTTACTGTCCACCTGGCGTGTTACTGTCCACCTGGCGTGTTACTGTCCACCTGGCGTGTTACTGTCCACCTGGCGTGTGTTACTGTCCACCTGGCGGTGTTACTGTCCACCTGGCGTGTGTTACTGTCCACCGGCGTGTGTTACTGTCCACCTGGCGTGTGTTACTGTCCACCTGGCGTGTGTTACTGTCCACCTGGCGTGTGTTACTGTCCACCTGGCGTGTGTTACTGTCCACCTGGCGTGTTACTGTCCACCTGGCGTGTTACTGTCCACCTGGCGTGTGTTACTGTCCACCTGGCGTGTGTTACTGTCCACCTGGCGTGTGTTACTGTCCACCTGGCGTGTGTTACTGTCCACCTGGCGTGTGTTACTGTCCACCTGGCGTGTGTTACTGTCCACCGGCGTGTGTTACGTCCACCTGGCGTGTGTTACTGTCCACCTGGCGTGTGTTACTGTCCACCTGGCGTGTGTTACTGTCCACCTGGCGTGTGTTACTGTCCACCTGGCGTGTTACTGTCCACCTGGCGTGTGTTACTGTCCACCTGGCGTGTGTTACTGTCCACCTGGCGTGTTACTGTCCACCTGGCGTGTGTTACTGTCCACCGGCTGTTACTGTCCACCTGGCGTGTTACTGTCCACCTGGCGTGTGTTACGTCCACCTGGCGTGTGTTACTGTCCACCTGGCGTGTGTTACTGTCCACCTGGCGTGTGTTACTGTCCACCTGGCGTGTGTTACTGTCCACCTGGCGTGTTACTGTCCACCTGGCGTGTGTTACTGTCCACCTGGCGTGTGTTACTGTCCACCTGGCGTGTGTTACTGTCCACCTGGCGTGTGTTAGTGTCCACCTGGCGTGTGTTACTGTCCACCTGGCGTGTGTTACTGTCCACCTGGCGTGTGTTACTGTCCACCTGGCGTGTGTTACTGTCCACCTGGCGTGTGTTACTGTCCACCTGGCGTGTGTTACTGTCCACCTGGCGTGTTACTGTCCACCTGGCGTGTTACTGTCCACCTGGCGTGTGTTACTGTCCACCTGGCGTGTGTTACTGTCCACCTGGCGTGTGTTACTGTCCACCTGGCGTGTGTTACTGTCCACCTGGCGTGTGTTACTGTCCACCGGCGTGTGTTACTGTCCACCTGGCGTGTTACTGTCCACCTGGCGTGTGTTACTGTCCACCTGGCGTGTGTTACTGTCCACCTGGTGTGTTACTGTCCACCTGGCGTGTGTTACTGTCCACCTGGCGTGGTGCTGTCCACCTGGCGTGTGTTACTGTCCACCTGGCGTGTGTTACTGTCCACCTGGCGTGTTACTGTCCACCTGGCGTGTGTTACTGTCCACCTGGCGTGTTACTGTCCACCTGGCGTGTGTTACTGTCCACCTGGCGTGTGTTACTGTCCACCGCGTTACTGTCCACCTGGCGTGTGTTACTGTCCACCTGGCGTGTGTTACTGTCCACCTGGCGTGTGTTAGTGTCCACCTGGCGTGTTACTGTCCACCTGGCGTGTTACTGTCCACCTGGCGTGTGTTACTGTCCACCTGGCGTGTTACTGTCCACCTGGCGTGCTGTCCACCTGGCGTGTGTTACTGTCCACCTGGCGTGTGTTAGTGCTTATTTGGTGTGTTACTGTCCACCTGGCGTGTGTTACTGTCCACCTGGCGTGTGTTAGTGTCCACCTGGCGTGTGTTACTGTCCACCGGCGTGTTACTGTCCACCTGGCGTACGTCCACCTGGCGTGTGTTACTGTCCACCTGGCGTGTGTTACTGTCCACCTGGCGTGTGTTACTGTCCACCTGGCGTGTTTACTGTCCACCTGGCGTGTTACTGTCCACCTGGCGTGTGTCGTCCGTCGGTTGTCGCCATTATCCGTCCATTGTAAAACAAAGTGTGAGCGCGGAGGTCACGACGACGATGATGATAATGTAAAGTTTCACTGGTTGTTACCGAAAGTTTCTCCCCTTAATTGGGTGTAAAGTAACAGTCTGTCTTGTGTAGTCTTGGTTCAGTTTTGATCACATCTTCCCCTCCATATTTAGGCTTCTAGTTTAGGAAGTTACTTTGAGGTGTTTAGGCATCCATCTAGTTTCGGCTGGGGTATGGGGGGGGGAGGGAATTTAACTTAAGACCTTTTGAAATTCCTAAGATCAGAGATTACCTCGTTTATTAACTTTATGCAAATTTGCTTCCTTGGATTCGGGCGAAGAGGACGTACAGCATACAGTATAACCGAGGGTCGTGTCTCACTGTACTCGCTGGTGCCATTTTAGATATAATTTTAGTACAGTTAATGATGCAGATCGATACATTCTAACATGTCCTCTTTAGGGGGAAATTTAACTGTTCCAGGCATCACTTCCTCTCTCTCCTTACTCCTCCCTCCCTCCACGACGTTCGCCAAAAATCATACCCCAGTCTTCACTCCACGCCGTTCGCCAAAATCATACTCCCAGTCTTCACTCCTCCACGCCGTTCGCCAAAATCATACTCCCAGTCTTCACCTCCACCGTTCGCCAAAATCATACTCCCAGTCTTCACCTCCACGCCGTTCGCCAAAATCATACTCCCAGTCTTCACCCTCCACGCCGTTCGCCAAAATCATACTCCCAGTCTTCACTCCTCCACGCCGTTCGCCAAAATCATACTCCCAGTCTTCCCTCCCCCGACCTACGCCACAATAAAATCACGCCCGTATTTTTAAAGAACATCTTCCCTGAAGAGGTCGTCGTGTTAAGGGAGTTCAATGAGTCTCGGGGACAGCAGTCTAGTATTAATTGGTGGTAAAATAACTAATTCCAATATTATACTTTAATTTTATTGGAATTAGTTAATTTTACCGACACACCACCCAGTTAAGTACTGTACTGCGGTGTCCCTCAGGACTCATTTAGTTTAAAACTCGCCTTGAAACACGACGACCCTCTTCAAGGGAAGATGTTCTTTAATAATACGGGCGTGAGGCTTCACAGTTTAAAGGCAGGTCACCTCAGCTGGTCGTTAGAAGTCAACATATTCTATTGGTAGACTCCAGTTAAAGAACATAATATCAATTTCAATTGTTTATTCCTTGATAGAGGAAGCGGGATCCTAGTACTGTCACTAGGTACCCCTGTACAATGACACCAGAAGCATCTGACAAGTGTGACAAGTATATACAGTATAAATATTATAAAGGGGCTTACTAAAGCCTAAGGAAGGAAGGATATTCCTTTAACACATAATCAATATTATTTACAAAATATCTGGCCAGTATGGGGAGGATCATCGTGTCTCCGTCAGGGGGTCGTGGAGTGGTGGTCCAGCAGGCGTCACGGAAGCGTTGTGTGGGGACATCTTAGGAGGTAGTGAATAAGGGTGCTGCTGTCTGGTCTTCTGCATAATGCACAAGAGCGTTGCTCAGGGGATGCGGGGATACATAATATCTGTGTTTTCGTGGGCCCAGTCACGTACATTGATGCATTACGATACTCCTTGGGAGGACTATATTATAGAAACGTATATTTTGTTCCCCCATAGCTACATCATGTGCTCTAGATTATTACCGTTATATTAACATGATAATTTTTATGTTAAAAAAAAACTTGGCCGAATAGCTCTAGTTATCTATATTATTATAAGCTGGAAGTATAATCTTTGGTTATGCTATATTAAAAGGACTGCTGTATTTTGTGGAGACTTCATTAACCTACATTAGATTTCTATAGTGATATACTGTACTCCTTGGATAGATTATAATAAAGGAAGAGGAATGTACCGCCGCATCACCTCAAATAAATAAGTTGTTGGGTAGGTTGTAGTGTAAGAACACAGCGTCACGGCCCGCCCCTCAGGTACAGCAGTGAAAGCTATAACTCATGTGTAAGGTTATTTATATTATGAAGTGTGTGTTTATGTTATCCGTTCTGTGTTTATTTTGCGCTTTGCTTGTTAACATTGTGCAATTTACGTAGTGCACTGTTATTTTATTAAGCACACCATTATAATTGTGCATATGTACTGTACTGTGGTTTTATATAATCGTGTACTATATATTGACATTGTGCAACGTACAGTTTACGTTGTGCACTATGTTTACAGTGTGCGTAGTTTGCACTCTTAATTGTAAAAATACGTTGTCCATAGTGTTTATGCACTTTGTTTACGCTGTATACTTTATAACTTTGTGCCTTTCAACTTTGGTTGCTTGTAAGTAAATTCTGCTGGAGTTGTACACGTTTTGATGGTGGTGGCTGATTGTTTTACTCTGCTATTCTCCTGAGGTGTAGATATGCATCAGTCAATCAGTCAGTGAGTCAGTTAGTTCAGAAACGCCATGCAGGTCGACAGACTGAGGTGTCATGCACGATCCTCCACTCTCCTGTCATTACTGCAGTGTCCTCCACGGCCGACCTTCCCTGGCGTGTCCCCTTCTCCGTCCAACATCCTCAGCGTGTCCCCTTCACCGTCCAACATCCTCAGCGTGCCCCCTTCACCGTCCAACATCCTCAGCGTGTCCCTTTCACCGTCCAACATCCTCAGCACGACCCTTTCACCGTCCAACATTCTCATTACGACCCTCTCACCGTCCAACCTCCTCAACACGACCCTCTCACGCGTCCAACATCTTCAACGTCTCTCTCACCGTCCAACATCCTCAGCACGACCCTCTCACCGTCCAACATCCTCAGCACGCTCTCTCACCGTCAACATCCTCAACCCTCCTCAACATCCATTACGACCTCTCACCGTCCAACATCTCAGCACGACCCTCTCACCGTCCAACATCCTGCGACCTCTCTCACCGTCCAACATCCTCAGCACGACCTCTTCCTCCAGCACGACCCTCTCACCGTCCAACATTCCCCCCCTCTCAAACATCCTGAACACGACCCTCTCTCACCGTCAACATCCTCAGCACGACCCTCTCCCCGTCCAACATCCTCAGCCGTCAACAACACCCTCTCACGCGTCCAACTTCAACACGACCCTCTCTCACCGTCCAACATCCTCCACGACCCTCTCACCGTCCAACATCCTCAGCGTATCTCTCACCGTCCAACATTCTCATTACGACCCTCTCACCGTCCAACATCTTCCAACGACCCTCTCTCTCACCGTCAACATCCTCCGACCCTCTCACCCGTCCAACATCCTCACCCTCTCTCTCACCGTCCAACATCCTCAACACGACCACTCTCACCGTCCAACATCCTCAACACGACCCTCTCTCACCGTCCCATCCTCAGCACGACCCTCTCACCGTCCAACGTCTCAACGACCCTCTCACCGTCCAACATCCTGAACATGACCCTCTCTCACCCCATCCTCTCTCACCGTCCAACATCCTCAACACGACCCTCTCACCGTCCAACATCCACCGTCCAACGTCCTCAACACGACCCTCTCACCGTCCAACATCCTCCTTTGACCCTCTCACCGTCCAACATCCTCAACACGACCCTCTCTCTCACCGTCCAACATCCTCAACACGACCCTCACCGTCCAACATCCTCAGCACGACCCTCTCACCGTCCAACGTCCTCAACACGACCCTCTCACCGTCCAACATCCTCAGCGACCCTCTCTCTCATCCAACATCCTCAACACGACCCTCTCACCGTCCAACATCCTCTCTCACCGTCCAACATCTTCAACACGACCCTCTCACCGTCCAACATCCTCTCAACCGTCCAACATCCTCCAACTTCCCTCTCTCTCACCGTCCAACGTCCTCCGACCCTCTCACCCGTCAACATCCTCAACACGACCCTCTCTCACCGTCTAACATCCTCAGCACGACCCTCTCACCGTCCAACGTCCTCAACACGACCCTCTCACCGTCCAACATCCTGAACATGACCTCTCTCTCTCACCGTCCATCCTCAGACCTCAACCAACGACCCTCTCACCGTCCAACATCCTCAACACGACCCTCTCACCGTCCAACATCCTCAACACGACCCTCTCACCGTCCAACGTCCTCAACACGACCCCTCTCACCGTCCAACATCCTCAACACGACCCTCTCACCGTCCAACATCCTCAACGACCTCTACCGTCCAACATCCTCAACACGACCCTCTCACCGTCCAACGTCCTCAACGACCCTCACCGTCCAACATCCTCAACACGACCCTCTCTCCTCCACCATCCAAACATCCTCAACACGTCTCACCGTCCAACATCCTCAACACGACCCTCTCACCGTCTCTCCAACGTCACTCAACATCCTCTCTCTCTCCAGCATGTCTCTCATCGACCCTCTCTCCCGTCGTCCTCTCACAACATCCCCAACACGACCCTCTCACCGTCCACATCCTCAACACGACCCTCTCACCGTCTCAACATCCTCACGTCCAGCCATCCTCACCCTCTCACCGTCCAACGTCCTCAACACGACCCTTTCACCGTCCAACATCCTCAACAACACCTCCATCCTCTCTCACCCGTCACCGTCCAACATCCTCAACACGACCCTCTCACCGTCCATCCTCAACACGACCTCTCTCACCGTCCAACATCCTCCTCTCTCTCACCGTCCAACATCCTCAACACGACCCCTCTCTCACCGTCCAACATCCTCAGCACACGACCCTCTTCACCGTCCAACGTCCTCAACACGACCCTCTCACCGTCCAACATCCTCAACGACCCTCTCTCACCGTCCAACATCCTCAACACGACCCTCTCTCTCATCGTCCAACATCCTCAACGACCCTCTCACCGTCCAACGTCCTCAACACGACCCTCTCTCTCACCGTCCAACATCCTCTAACGACCCTCTCACCGTCCAACATCCTCAACACGACCCTCTCACCGTCCAACATCTCTCCAACATCCTCAACACGACCCTCTCTCTCACCGTCTAACATCCTCAACACGACGCCTCTCTCAATCCAACATCCTCGACACGACCCTCTCACCGTCCAACATCCTCAAATCCTCAACACCTGACGACCCTCTCACCGTCCAACATCCTCAACACGACCCTCTCTCTCGTCCATCCTCTACACGCCTCTCGTCCAACATCCTCTACGACCCTCTCACCGTCCAACATCCTCCACACACGACCTCTCACCGTCCAACATCTCAACACGACCCTCTTCTCTCATCGTCCAACATTCTCAGCACGACCCTCTCACCGTCCAACATCCTCTACACGACCCTCTCACCGTCCAACATCCTCAACATGACCCTCTCTCACCGTCGAACATCCTCCAACACGACCCTCTCACCGTGCACATCCTCAACACGACCCTCCTCACCGTCCAACATCCTCAACGACCCTCTCACCGTCCAACATCCTCCGACCCTCTCACCGTCCAACATCCTCAACACGACCCTCTCACCGTCCAATCCTCAACATCGACCCTCTCACCGACCCTCTCTCACCGTCCAACATCACCGTCCAACATCCTGAACACGACCCTCTCTCACCGTCCAACATCCTCTGACCCTCTCACCGTCCAACATCCTCAACACGACCCTCTCTCTCACCGTCCAACATTCTCAACACGACCCTCTCACCGTCAACATCCTCTCACCGACCCTCTCACCGTCCAACATCCTCAACACGACCCTCTCTCACAACATTCTCCAGTCTCAACCAACATCCTCAACACGACCCTCCTCTCACCGTCCAACATCCTCAACACGACCCTCTCTCTCACCGTCCAACATTCTCAGCACGACCCTCTCACCGTCCAACATCCTCAACACGACCCTCTCTCTCACCGTCCAACATTCTCAGCACGACCCTCTCACCGTCCAACATCCTCAACACGACCCTCTCACCGTCCATCTACCATCCCACTAGCGTTTTATTTTGCAGCTCTACTCGTGAGGGAAGATGGGTGTGTATACCCGGAACACGGGAGTCTCTTGTGTGATGAAGAGGGAAGTATAGAGAAACGTGCTATAAATGGCAATATAACAACGAGAACGTGTATGCCAAGAATACGTGGATGTCAGCTTTTGTGTGGTGGTGAGGGGAGGTAGGAGAGACGTGCCGAAACTGGTAATAACCCTGCGAGGACGCCTACATCATGAGTATGTTGATGTCAGCGTGAGTGTGAGGAAGAGGGAACGAGAGTGACGTGCTCAAACTGTCAGTAACACGTACAGGACAGAGGAAGGTGGCTCAGAGTGTTAGGCGTCACCGTCAGGGCAGGGAGGAAGGTTAGCGCAGCTGTATAATACAACTTCACCCTTCATGCTTAAAAAAATAAAATGTGTTGGGGAGGGTGTGGGAGGCGCGGGGTAGGCGTGGCTCAAGTTCCCAAGCACCCTGGTTGTCGATGGAGAGGTGCCATGTACTGTAGTGATAGTTTTATGCGGTACTTAATAAATCACTGCACAACTGGATATGTTGGGAAGGTAATGAATTAATGAAAAATACCAGCTCTCAACCGAGTGTGTGTGTGTGAGACATCCTGGTACCGCCCTCGTGGCCCACCACCTGTCCACAGGTCGTGTAAGGTGAGAATGGTGTTAACTTGTGACACTATAAATAGATTGCCAATTTGGACTGAAAGGAGTTTGATCCTCTTGACGCCTCAGTTAGTTATAACTCTAAATAAAACTTGAAAGGGAATTTACCGTCAGTTACTTATTTCTTGAATTTATTTGGGATATTATTGTTCTAGCGTCTGTAGATAAATTTAGGATTGAAATCCCTTTTCTTGGAAGAAGATAAAAGTTGCGAGGGGTGAAGGTTTACTGTGTAGAGTGAAGCAAGGTAAGCGATGTTATGTGTGCTCATGTTATAGTCGGTCATGTTTTAAGCCAGGTTGAGGGTGGAAGATACTGTACTGTATTAGCGAGGGCAGCCAAGGGGGGTAAAGCAATGGGTGTAAATAAAGGGGATACAACTATAGCGTATACTGTATATTAATGAACATAGAAACAAAAGCAGGATTACATTTGTATGAAAACGGGGGTGGTGGGAGGTGATACATACACAAGGAGAGGAGGAGTGTTAGGCTGGTTGTGGGTCAGCACATGAATCAGTAGTGGGAGCAGCAAGTAGAGTTGCACAACACCTTCCACATTAAGATAAAGCCTGTGTTGCAATAGCGTTGAGAGAGGTTTTGTGCCATACTTATGAGGCAACAACACCATCGCTAGCTCCACCACCATCACCTTTACCACCTGCCCCATCACTACCTCCGTCATCGGACCTCCAGTTTTTAACGGAATTTCACGCCACTTGGTACAGATAGTGTAAACTGTACAGTATATGGTTCGGTGAAGAGGCGATAATTCCACCCGTCCCATGTGACGTGTGGCTGTAGTATTATAAAAAAAATATATATATTTTGATAAATGTTCCTTATGCTATTAGTAGTGATAGACACGAGGGCGAAAATTAATATGCCCACTCCTCTGGATTCTAAGGAAACAGTAAACAAAGTTGAGATGAAGTTGCAGTGAGCCGGTCGAGAGACGGATATATTGTTCTTGGTGCAAGTGTTGGTGGTATATTGTACTGTGTCGAGGCTACAAGTCTTGGATTTGGAAAAAAATTACTTTATATATATATATATATATATATATATATATATATATATATATATATATATATATATATATATATATATATATATATATATATATATATATATATATTGTTATATATATATATATATATATATATATATATATATACATATATATATATCATGTAGATCCTCATGGAAACGTGGATAAGATAAAGCTGAAAAACACAGAAGGGACAATGGAGCATTAGCTTGTTTTATTCTAGACATCTTCGGTTGCCTCTGAAGATGTCTAGAATAAAGACGAAAGCCAAGGTTCTCCATTGTTTCCTTTCCTTCTGTGATTTATCAATAAATATATATATATATATAATATATATATATATATATATATATATATATATATATATATATATATATATATATATATATATATATTATATATATATATATATATAGATCAAACTCAGTGTCCCATAGTTCTCAATATAATTCTGATTTATTATATATATATATATATATATATATATATATATATATATATATATATATAATATTTTTATGTAATTTTCGGAAATGTAGCCGCTGGCGCTCGGTCAAGTACCTGACACTCGTATTTGGAGACATAGGACGTACTTGCGGGGTTGTTACCTTAATAACGCCAGGGGCCGGCCTACGTGGGTTGACCTATACTCTCACTTTCACCGCCTTGTTCACTACCGCCGCCGTGGTCTGTGCCACGGTGGTATCATGGTAGATGGTTGAGTTGAAAGTACCAGAGGAACGCCGCCGTTTAGTTATGGTGCAATTGTACTGCCAGACACAATCGTAAAAGAGTGGGAATACAAGCGATGTGGTTCGTCCTCACTACAAATTGGAAGGAACGCCAAGTTCTATTAATAATTCTGGCTGACGATTTTTATAACAGCCGACGTCGGCAACGTGGTCTTGATTAGACAAGCAAATTGGCAGGCAGACATGGAGACAGGTCAGCTGGTGTGGAGCGTAGACTGGAATGTAGTTAAGTAAGCAGGCAGGGAAGGCAAGCAGGCAGAGAAACTGGATAAACTTAACGTTGACAAGAGAGTTGAACAAATTGAGACACAGACAGTAGGGTGGTGGACAAACAGGCAGGATGCAGGAGGTTGAGATGCTTGGTGGTAGCCCGCATGACTTAACCCCCAGCAAGGCGCTCGCTGGGTCAGTCACCCGTCGGGCATTAAGGTAAAATCTTATTTTAACTCCTTCACTTTCAATATTTTACTTGGCTTATGCCAGACGATTTAATTCAGCACAGAGATGATCCCGTACTGAAGGTTGTTACTTGACTCCACTAAATCCACGTTTCTTAAACACCATGTGTGAGGTACAGCTGTTGCCTTACATTACACACATGGCTTGGCCGCTTGCATTTGGCACGAGAGGAGTTTCAAGATCATGTTAAAATCGTCTCTCTGATTGTGGGGTAAATCGGGGTAAAATTTTGGCTGTGATGATGAGGCACAAATTATATTGTCTCATGATTATGTTATTACATAATTCATGTTTTTTCCTTCATGTTTTCTCAAGTGTGAATTGCGTGATATCCTATTTCATTACTATTATCAGCGCCTTATGGTCAATTGGGCCCGCTTGTCGAACTTTGTTTCGTTACGGTTTAACGCTCAACTCAAGCTGTCCGATTGTTTTTACTTTTTCCAGCTATTCCCTGCCATTGGGAAAAGGAGAATGCAAAATTCATCGTTTATGGAGTCTGAAATTAGCACTACTGCTTCTTAAAAATTAAGAGTAATAATAAATGGAATTATTAGTTTACTGTACTTTACTGCCTCGGTTGATATAATTGACAAGGAAATGTGTGATTGACTCAGGCAGTAATTTTTACCTTCAAGACAAGAAAATGTAAAAATAATTTATTGCCGTCCGTACTTTTTAGTTAGATTTTTTTCAAGGACTGCAATAATGATTGTTAAATACAAAAAATTATCTGAAATTAATATTTATAGTTTCCCACATTGTTCTTGAATAAGTGAAAATTATTGTACGGCTTGGTGACGTTGTATTGACGAAAACCAGATGTGGAACCGTTGGGCCATCCTCCAGGTACTGCATTAGTGATGATGAGAGATGTAAACAGGGAAACCAGATGAACAACGATGCCATAGAGAAATCCGACTGCGAGAGAGATTTAGGAGTAATGATAAGTAGGAACCTTAAGGCAAGTAAACAATGTGTTTTTGCTCGTAACAAGGCTAATAAAATACTTGGGTTCATACAAATGAGTGTTAGTTACAAGACTACCGAGGTCATCCTAAAACTGTATCTTGCTCTTGTCAGACCGCACCTGGATTACGCAATTCAGTTCTGGTCAC